AAATAATTATGATTCATTACTGACATTATTTTTATAATTAAATAATAAAATTATAAATTAAAAAAATGGGCTACCATTATTTAGGGCAAATAGGAAATTAATTACAAATTGATTAAAAAAAACAAAATCAATTGCTTTATTAAAAATTTTCCTCTTCACTATTAAAATAAAAAAAAAAAAATCGCTTATTAAAATTTAAATTTTTCATTGATACGAAATTATTCATCTTTTTCATAATAAAAAATTTATAGCTGAAAAATATTTTAAATTATTGTGAAATTTCTCTTAATTATTTTTAGTAATTTATTTATGAGAAGTTAAAAGAATCATTAATGGAAATGAAAAATGTACAATCAATTTCCTCTTAATCTTCTGTGAAACTGTTCAGTTTATTTTAAAGGCTAATTAACACAAGATTCAATTAATTAATACACATGCAAAAATTTAACTTTTGGAAAATTCAAAAAAAAAAAAAACAACACAAGCAATTAAATTGAAAAATATTTTATAAGATTATTAAAAGGCTACTTTAACGGTAATCTGCGGTAGTTGATTTAAAAAATATATAACAACTTTGCATGTTACGTACAGAGTTAATATTTACGTAATTTTTCCATTTTAATCACAATTTGTAAGGTTAATACTGCAAAATATGACTTGACGTTAAAAAATGTTATTTTTTAAAAGAACCTACCTCAAAATCAAAATTACATTTCTTATATACTACAACAAAATTATTGAATATTTTCTGTATAATTTTCATAATTTTATAGAATTGCCATAAATAATAAGTATTAAATATTTCTTTAACAAAATTAATAACCTTACTTGTATAAAATTTTAGACCTGAACACAAAATTGAATGACGTCCTAAATGTTGTTATTTATTCAAATTTTAAAGGTCAAACAAAACATTAATTTAAATAATAATTAGTTCAGTATTTAATATTTTTTTTGCATTGTTTTCCATTGCAGAATAACAATGAAATTCAGTGGCCTCAAACACAAACCGCCTAACTCGAGTTAAGACAAAAATGAGATATGTTTACCAGCGAATTCTCCGCTTTGAGTTTCATATGCTCACAAAATTTGGTGGTTCTACGACTGTTGTAGCCGGAGTTATTGTCGAATTCACACATGACCTAACTCGAAATGGTAGCTATGTGCACTTGCACTAACCGCCTATTTCGAGTTAGGAGCAGAAAACATCTTTTTTATGTTTTTGACAAACCACTTATTTCGAGATAGGCTATTGTTGCAAATCAAAATTAGTGACATTTTTTTTTATTTGTATGAATTTTTACAACCGCTTATCTCAAGTTAGGCTTTTGTTGCAAAATTAATTTTGAGTTTTTTTAAATACTAACTCGACATAAGCGATTTGTGTAAAATAAAAATTGGTAGTTTTTTAAACTCATCTCGAGTTAGGCGATTATTGCAAATACAATTATATTCCAAAAGGCTTCTTATGTCGAGTTAGGTTTTTATAACGCGTGCAAGTAAGAACAAAACATCAAAATTAAGCGTTTAGTGTTCAAAATAATGCATAATCAGTATAGAATATTTTTTAGTTTTTTATAATAAAAAATATTTTATAACGCTTAACATATTATTTTATGTGATATATAGTGTAGGTACTTTATGTCCGTGATTTAAAACTTGTTCACTATAGTTAAAATTAAATCTTACATTCAGCGACAAGTAAGATAGTTGTATTTTTTAACCCAAAATATAAAACATCTGCACAAGTTACCTGAATTTTTAATGCTCTAATTACCCAAATATCCCATGTTTAAGATTTGAATTTTTTTATTTAACAAATAATCTTGTAGGTCATTTCGTGATTTACCTGCGACAAATGTTTTTTTCAATTGACGAAGTTCCCATGTTAAAATGACACGTGGCTAGCTACCTGATGGCAGATTGTTTTGCCTTTGTGGTCTAATTGTATTATTAAAGAAAGTGTAAAGTGTTGTTTTATTACGCCCTTGTAAAACACATGTTATTAGGAAGATCAAATTTTTGTGTTTAACAAGAGTTTTTATTTTAATTATTGTATTACAAAGCAATACTTTTATTATACACTAGTAAAACACATTTTGTTAGGAAATTCAAATTATTATAATATGCAAGGGTTTTCAATAAATAAAATTGTTGCATCTGGGAATAACAATATTTTGTTATACTTTTCATTACTCATTTCCGTGAGATAAAATTTCTTCGATTTTCAAATATTTATGATATTTTTGTTATTTCGAAGGAAGTATTTTTTACAAAGACAGTTATTTATTATTGTTTTTAAATGTGCTGATGTTGGAAATTGTTAAATAATGCAAAAATTATCCAATATAAACTTTATTCACGCTTAATAAATGTACATTAAAAAATTTGGAACTTGCTAGGAGAGCTTAGATGATGTGGCGGATGTTATAGGTATTGCAATATATTTGAAACTAACATAACGGATTCAAAGTGTTTTAAAGCATAGAAATTAGCGAAACTGGTCCTATAGTAAATAAACAAGTATTTACACAACAGATCTTACTTTGAAAACCGAAGTTAATACAGTTTTGAAAACCGCAATTGACTTTGGTCGTGATGAATGTATTAACGATCCTGATTTTAAAATTGACAACATTCAAAAGCAAGTTTTCGGGTCTTATTGGGCATGTGAACATATCTGTAGAGATAAAAAAATATGAAAGGCTTTCTACTTTTATTCTTTTAAGAAAAATCCTTTTACAATTTGCCGAACGGTTAGAAAAATTCGCTTCATCTTTCGCGACCGGGCTTCCTGAATGCACTCAAGTACATGAACGCTCGAAACTGACTCGTGGTCAATTTGAATGGAGTCTTAATTGAAAAGTAAATGCTGACAGCTAAAATAAAAATGTCGAGCAAACTTACAATATTCTTTGTTTATTTGATAATCAAATACTTATATACTCTATGATAGGAGAGCGAATTCCGAACCAATTTACTTTGCCACAACTTTTTACGAAGATCTATATACTTTTTACGGCAGAACTTAGAGAAAAACTGACTCACAAACCATTCTCTATATGTAATTAATAATACGTCTCCAAGATTTAATTTTCACAAGTATCGAATTATTATTTTCTATACGAGTTCGAGTTCACTATCAAATTTGACTTTTCATTACAGTAGTTGTAATGACTCACACTCGATTTCAGTTTGCTTTCGATTTAAAAATTTTAATTAATTCGCATTTAGTATCATTATGAACAAGTAAGAAAGTCATATGGACCATAGTGCATAAATAAAATAACAAACACAAAACTCATAAACTCATTTTAGAGATTACTTTATGTGCTCATTTTTACAATAATATAACGACTTTGTCAGATCCGTTGCACAATGAAGCCTTTTTGTAGTTGAATTACCTTTTGAAATTCTCTTAAGTGGAAAGAGTCGCACCACAGATTTCAAAAAATTGACTTCCAAAAATATTTTACAAGAGCAGTTTATACAAAGATTTTTTATATTTTAAGACGAGGTGTTAATTAGTTAGATTTTCAAGATATACTTCGAATTGAAGAAGAAGAGAAAATTAGTCCAAAAAAAGAAAAACTTAGAGTACTTGATGCAATTTATTCATCCTTTGGTTCACAAATTTTACAAAAAGATTAAGACTGGAGATTTAGCAGATACTCATCCATATTTAGCTGGAGAATCCGAGAGAGAATAAAAGATACTGTCACCTTTCTTAAATTTAATAAAACAATTATTTTTAAATTTTTAGAAATAATTTTTACTTGAAGTTTATTCATTTCTTACCTCAATTTATTCTTTTTATGACAATGATTTGAAAAAAAAGTGAAAAATCAAATAATATAGAAATAATACATATATTTCTTCCCTTTTTAGTATAACTTAAGTCACCTAAAACCATATCTTCAGTTTTGCAACAACAGCTTAAGTCGACTTAAGTTTGACGAAAATACAAAAGTAATTTTTCACAAATCGCCTAAGTCGAGTTATGCTTTGCAAAGTGCTTTTTATAAATTTTGTATAACCGCCTATCTCACTTTTTTCATAATTATGAGAATACTATTATTTGTTTTACTTCAGTTTGTGAGTTAATCGCTTCCTTTTTTAATTATCTTTCAATCAAAAAAAAAAATTGGTTCAAAAAACTTCATAACTTTTTTCAAAATTAAATTTAAAGTTTAAAATGCATTTATCTCGAAATCACTAAAACAGACTTAAGTCGTTTGTGCTTGAAGCCACTGAATTATTGTCGTTAGTAAAATAAATTTATTGTACGATAATCACATAATTAACACGAAAATTCAATTTCTATATGAGAAATTATAAATAAATTCCTCTGTAATATTTTTATAATAATATAGAAACAATTTTTTTTTAATTTTATAGCATAAAATAACAACATTCTATTTGAAAATATTTAATTATTTTAAAGAAAAATTACCGTGTCCTACACCATTTCTAAATTTATCCAAATCAATATTTTTAAGTGAAATTCCATGAAAATTGCATATATTTAGGAGCATGGTATGAAAAACTTATAGTATTTTTTTCTGTTTTACTACTTCCTTAACTAATTTTGCAAAAAATAACAAATATTAAAATATATGAAACAAAAAATGGCCAGATTTTCATCATTTAATTACAAGTAAAAAAAAAGGGAAAAATAAATAATATTAAAGGACAACAAGTCTTTTTCTATCTAATTAAATAGCAATAAATCAAATGAAGGAAAAAAATAATAACGTAAGAAGAAAATTATATATTTTTTTTTTCCTTTTTTATTCAACCACACTATTATTAATAATGGAAAAGGATTCTCGAAGAAAAATATTAATAACTGTAATTAAGAAATGTGTACACACTTAAATACGTGTGCAAATTTTTATATTTGTATATAAATATGTATATGAGAATTATATAGATTAAAAAAAGGTTTATGTGTTAAAAAAATTTTCTTAGAATAAAGAGAAAAAAAATTTACAACTTACCCTTGTATTATTTCGTTCAGCTTTTAATTCAGCAATTTCTTCATCTCGTTCTAATAGAGTTTCACGAGCCTGTGTTAATTCCTTTGTTAGTGTTGCAAACTCCTATTGAAATATAAACAAAAAAAAGAACAATACGTTAGTACATGCTCAAAAAAAACAGAAAAACAAAATACAATTAATTTACAAATTAAATATGAAGAAAAAGGACATTTATAAATCATTTTTAATAAAACAATTTTTTTCACTGCTTTCTCGGTTTAACATTTCCATTTTTTTTTGTATATACACATATAGGGTGTCGTTTTATGATTGAATTACTTGTACATTGCTAAGTATATCAATTTATCAATAGATTCAAGTCAGTAAATTTAAATCCGGTCATATTAAAAATGAAAACTATCATTCAATGTTTTCAAATGTAGAATTTAAAACGAAGATTCAAGTTCAGTATCGGCATAATAACTGAAGGTCTATATTAGAAGCTTCAAATAAATCAGTATAAGAGCTGAATTTTAGACTCTCCCTTCCCGAAATTCAATTAATCAAGAGTTTTTGCTACAAAATCGCATTAGAAATTTAACAAAAATTTTTCATATATTAAAGTGGTGCCCTAAAAATGATTCCTACTGTTCGAACAACATATAAATTATATATTAAATTTTCTCAGTTCTAATAGGATATAAAATTTATTATTTTAATTTTCGAAATTTATGTTATATTTGTAAAGAAAAATATTATGTATAAATAACCATATTTTTTCGAAGGTAGAAACTATAAATTAAAAATAAAAAAAAATATTTTTTAAAAATAGAAAAAAATGAGCAGATTTATAGAAATTCTACAATATTTAGAATTTTAAAGAAACAACCAAAAATATCGTTATTTGCACCCTCTTTTGTACCCTCAAAAATTTTTCTAGAAAAAAATTCTCAACAAAATTTATAAAGGTAATATAATATTTCTGTGACTACAAGTTTGTAGTTTTAATTTATACTGAAGAAAATTATAAATAAAAATTTTTTATAAAATTTTCTCCTTATACAATTTTGATTTTTTACCAAAAAAATACTCCAAAATAAAATTAACATTATTTATAAAAAAAAAAACGTGCTTTTCGAATTTTGAAATAAAAATCGTTTTCCTCGCCTTAAAATTATTTTACATGATTTTATAGATTTTTTTTATTTGCATATGAGCTTCAGTATTTAAATACGGTGTAAAATAACTTAAGAAGCTATCAGACATGCATTTACATTATAGTTCTTAAAAGACGCGACTAGTTTTCCAAACTGAATTATACAAGCTGAAAAGAATAAAACTGTTCTTTAGACTTGCAAGAAATTCTTAAAAAAAGGAGACTTTTAGACTTTTATTTATAAACTACTTAAATGAAATCAAAAGTTACTCACTTTTCCCTAGCAGAAACTACTCTATTAACATTTATTCTCCTTTAATTTAAATAACTCTGATAATTTGTAATTCAAAAACTTCATGGTAACTAATTATAACATGCAAGAATAAGGTAATGCTTCTTTACACTTTTAGTTAGTTAACTATACTTTAATATGAACAGCACATGATCGTGTTGTCGGAATCAGTAATAAGTAAATCGATTCGTGTTAATTTCAAATTGTTGTAAAGGGATCAAAAATATTGGTAGACAATATTGCTAGGCTATTGTACTTAATTTTAAACGTCAAATTGTTTTTACAATAAAAAACTGCATTTGGAATTCGATTTCACTATTAGAAATTCATAGAATAGGATTTATTAATTCTATAATCTAAAATAAATCCGAAACACAAAATTTCAGAAAAATGGTTAATCATTGGAATCCAATATAAGTTTTTATTTATTCCAATAAAATTTGATAAGACCTTCATGAAACAGTCTAATAGATATGAATTTCCATTCGAACTCATTAAATTGGAACAGAAATTCAGAAGTGCATATTCATACTAACAAATTGAGAAACAAGCAGGTAAAAAACCATGACGTTGCAAAAAATTGTTTTATTTTTTATATATTTTTTAACATTCAGTGTGAAAACTACACCCATCTTATTGCATAGCAATACAGTAAAATATTCTTGTAAATAAACACTTAAAATTTTAATACCAAAAGTCTCGAAAAAAAACGCAATAACTTTAAATATTATGGATGATTCCTTTACAATTCTTATTCAGGAATAAGAAAAGCCATATAAGTGGATACCGAAATTTTCCATTCATATTGTATGGTTTTTACCGAAAGGATCAGGTGAATAACGACCAATTTAATTAATTTACTTTTATTATTTTCTTTTATTACTTTTTTTTTGTATGTTTTTATGATGCAATCAATTTAATTACAAAGGACATTATATGAATGACTTGAATAGTTTTGATTTTTTTTCTCACTTTCCATTTGTAATTTTTATTTATTGTACTATATAATCGCATGTATGTCTCGATTTACTCTATAGTTACATTTGAAATTTCATTTTGTATGTCGTGCCAAGTAAAAAGGATAAAAGAAAAAATCATTAAATTTTTTTTTCTCTTTGTTAATTAGCTAATTATTTAAAAAAAAAAAAGTTGTATGTATTCGAATAATTGTTAGCCTTAATTCATTCAAAATGGTGCACCTGTACATAAAATATCTTTTGAATTAATTTATAAAGATGCGGTTGTTGGAAAACCAAAAAAAAAATTATGGGTAATTACTTAAAGGATCTTTTAAATTGTCATCTAAAATCGATAGACGATTATTAATTGAAACTATTTTTGCTGTACACTTATACAGTGCGATAATTTGTTGATAATTTTCTATTAAAGAAGTTGAAGGAAAATTATTTACATACATATTTAATATGTAAATGTAAAAAATAAATTCTGGAATAGAAATATTTCTTCTCTGTATACATACATGTGACGTGTATAGAAACTGTGAGAGTTGTTTTAAAAGTTTACACTTCGAAATGTCTGTAGTTGTTTCTATTGGTTCGCAGTTGTGTGTTCTCATGTACTTATTGCATATTAACATGTAAACATTTTTATTAAAATATTTTACACTTTAAGTACATTACACAATTTTTAGAATATCATAAATTTTTATAATTCACAGTTGAAAATGCATTAATAGTGTTGAACTTCACTTATATATAAACTCAATTATGCGAACAAAACTTGTTAGTACATTAAACTTTATTTGTATATATTGAAAATTTTTCAAATATACATACATTTCTAAAAACACTTAGGAACTATAAATTATTAACCTTCATCTACAATAACAGAAATTTTAGGTCGATATCGAATATTTCTAAAAGATTTTCTTTTAAATTTAAAATTTATTTTATTTAATTAATTTAAATTTATTGCAATAACGAGATTTTCATCTAGTTGATCTAGTGCTCATGAAAAATAAAAAACAAGTAAAACCGTTTCAGTCGGTATAAACCGATTGAATTATACCCTGCACCTTTCGTTATTGTGTAGCAATTACTCGAACCTGTGAGATCATTCTATAGAAACTTCACGGACATGTCTGACCTATGATTGGACATCCGACTGCCAAGTTTCATCAATCTGACCTTATAATTTTTCAAAATATTTAAAATTAGCTTTTGGAGTTGTATGGTAAGTACCTAAACCTGTCAAGCAATTCCATCAAAACTTCACAAATATATCTGATCTATAATCGGACAAACAACTGCCAAGTTTCATGAATCTGACTTTATTATTTTTCCAAATATTAAGAATAAGCTTTTAGACTTGTATGGGATCTACTCGAACCTGTTAAGCAATTCAACCACAACTTCAGAAATATGTCTGACCCATAATTGGACACATGACTGCCAAGTTTCATGAATCTGACTTTATTATTTTTCCAAATATTAAGAATAAGCTTTTAGACTTGTATGGGAGCTACTCGAACCTGTCAAGCAATCGCACCAAAACTTTAGAAATATGTCTGACCCATAATTGGACACACGACTGCCAAGTCTCATGAATTTGACTTTATTATTTTTCCAAATATTTAAAATAAGCTTTTGGGGTTGTATGGCAAGTACCCGAACCTGTCAAGCAATTCCACTAAAACTTCACAAATATATCTGATCTATAATCGTACACACAACTGCCAAGTTTCATGAATCTGACTTTATTACTTTTCCAAATATTTAAAATTAGCTTATGGAGTTGTATGGCAGGTACCCGAACCTGTCAAGCAATTCCTCCAAAACTTCGGAAATATATTTGACCTATAATTGGACACATGACTGCCAAGTTTCATGAATCTGACTTTATTATTTTGGCGAATATAAAAAATTTGCTGTTGGAGTTGTATGGCAGCCACCCGAACCGGTGCAGCTATCCCATTATAATTTTTAGAGCATGTGTAGAATATAATTGGACACATTTATACAAAATTTTATATTTATAGCTTTATTAGTTTTTGAAATATTTAAAATAAACTCTTGGAGTTGTATGGCAGCTACCCGAACCCGTTGTCCGACTTAATCCAATAACAATAGGGTTCGTCCTTGGCACAAAAGAAAAAACTGGTGAAAGTTTGGTGTCGATTGCATTATTCGTTTTTGAGTTATCGTGCGATCGGACGGACGGACGGACGGACGGACGGACATGTCTAAATCGACTCAGAATTTTACGCTGAGCAAGAATATATATATATGTCCATACCGCAGATGACTCCTTCAAGTAGTTACAAACTCCATACCAAAGTTAATATACCCTTCACGAAGTGCAGGGTATAATAACAAGATTATTAATTTTATTAACGTATTATTAATTTTTCTAACATGAAATAATACTATGAATGAAAATGTTAAACCGCATATGTGATTGAGTTTAAAATTAAAATAAATGAATAAAGTCAGATAACTGAAAAAAGATGCAATATGATGCAATAAGCATAGCAACTTTGAGAATAAAAGAAACATTTATGAAAATTGGGAAGGCTTTGTCAATCGTAATTGTTATTATTCAATAATCACCGTGACCTATGCGTTAATTATAGTCAACACAAAATTTGTCTCTATATATAACAAATAGTCTTGGGCTTCATATCTAAATTTTAGGAGATCAAAAGTAAATTTTAAA